TATTCTCTCAGCGGGCCTAATTGAAGCTGACGGCTCGGTCCTTCTTTTATTAGGCGGAACAAAAGACACCGCGCGGCGCTAAAGTCGCAAGGTGCAGAACTCATTACGAGCGAGACGCCTGCAGCGGCGCGGCGCCGCGGCTGCCTGATGAAAAATTCCGGAATGGAAACGATCGGCTCTATACGCGCGGCAGAACCCCTCCGCCCTCCGTTTCGCCCTCCACGTCGCCCAGCGGTCGTGGCTTGACGCGCTAAATAAAAGCAACGTGCACGGGCTTGAAGAAATATACGAAAAAGGAGGATTTTCGCGGAGGCGTCGCGTCGTCCCCGTCGACGATACCCAATATCCGCTTTGACACTGGCGCCACGATGATCCTGTCGTCCCGCGTCGTTGTCGCGGATGCATCGAATTTTCCGACGACGCGGGAGAAGCGCCACGGAATTTCGTAATACGCCGCGTGAAAATTTCAACGTCGCGCTCCGCTGCCCTACTCGCCGTAAAGAGCCAGGTGCGTCCAACTTTGTATTGCGACTAAATGGAGGATTTCATACCGCTGCGGGGCCAAAGTGCACGGACTCCGCTATGTCGCGCGTCTGCATGCCACCCCTGCATTCACCCACTTCATCCACCTCCTTCTCTCCCCGCACTCCGTGCGCGCCTTTCCTCCTCCGTGAGGAAAATGGAAACATATCGGAAAGTTTTCTAGAAATTACCATAATGCAGCCGAAAACAATCCACTTTATCCGCACGGCGCGGCGCGGCGCGAAGAGAGAAGCGGGCTGATATCTGGAAATACACCACCGGCCGTTAATTCGCGGACCGGCCAACTTCCTGACGGGAAATCTATACGTCGCATTATTAACCGGCTCCATTTCGCTGCCGGGTAACTCTTTATGATTAAAAAACGCCGCGCGAAAGGGAAGAAAAAAAGAGAAAGGGGAAAAAGGGCGTAAAACGGGATCGACGTCGCCGTGTTTGAAAGTAAATAAAATCAAAAGTACGATATATACGCTACATACCGGCGGAGTGTACAAAACAAATGTTCAAACTTCGCGTCGGCACACGATACCTTCTGTTTCGGAACCCGATGGTATAAAATTTCTAGCGAAACGCGTTCGCGCGCACGAGCGAGAGAGATCGATATATAGTGTGTGAGCCAAGAGTGCGCCGGATAAAATGTTTAATCATTAAAGCCTGTGTGGGAGCACTAGAGTACGAAGAGAACAAAAGAGAATATTTCCTATGTTTTATGCAAATGCTTCGTTTGTTTTTTCCTTTGATTGGAGAAAATATTTCGCGTACGTTGCGTTGAGAATCGGGGTGCGCAATTGTTTCCTTATAAAAAACCCAATTCTTTACAAAGAAATGGCCGGCAACGTGCGTAAAAGGATACAATACCACTCGTAACAGTAATGCGTACGAAAATACCTGGTAAAAAAGGTAGCTCTGTTGAGTCAACGGAATAACAAGCCAATTAACTGATACAACCCGTCGTGTTACCAGCGCAAACGACTGTTTGTTAACTTAAATACAATATCGGCATTCCTTGCTATAATCAAATGGTGCATTATACACATACACACACACACACACACACACACAAGGAGGAGAAACACTCTCCATAATATTTGAGATAAACAGAGCATTGCGCGCACGTTGCAACGAAAGGTGTACATGAAGAGAGAATGGAAACGGACCGCGGATTCCGATCCTGCATCAGGATTGGATTGCTGAGTTAAAAGAGCCATAAGCGACCAATGGGCAATCGTCGAAAAACTTTTCAAATTAAGATAATGTGTGCGTCGCTAGAATATTATACGATCCAACTTGGACCATCAATTTTCGCGATGTCAGACCGGCGTCGGGCTTGCGTATCTCGTCCCAGGCGATAATTCGCCGATCGAACGGACGAGTAGTCTCTTCGCGGCGACAATAACGGACTTAATAAAAGAGGGACGCGAGTACGTAAGCAGAAATTGGTTATTCGATATATTCGGAAATCCGGCACGGTTCCGGCGTTCCGTCCATTTGCGTTTTGCCAGTACCGGACGGGGGCAATATCTATTCCTATGAAGTTCTGCGCGCACTTGATTCTAGAGAAATCGGACATCCACGGCATATCGACGAGAGTCCGAGATAGAGGGAGAGAGAGAGAGAGAGAGAGAGAGAGAGAGAGAGAGAGAGAGAGAGAGAAAGAAAGAGGAAAGGGGAGAAAGGGCAGCCAAGAGCGCAGTGGTCACCACGTGGCCAATTCCGCCTCGCTCCAGGTCGCCGTGACTTTCGTACGGACGCGTGGAGCGACGACCTAATTTCGCACGCCCCAGGAAAACGACCGTCCATAGCCAATTCCTTCAACGACCGGCACTGCATCACCGGCTACTGGTAATATCGCTTTCAATAGTGGAAACGCCGTTCGATTACCCTCGTCGGCGAGGAACGACGCGGTACAAATCCGCCCGTTCGGTGTGAGGTGGTAACGGCAGCTACGTGTGCGGCTCGCTGCCGCGAACACGGCAGCCGGATCGCCTTAACGTCGTTCAAGAAGCGCCCGTTGATTCCCTATTAGCCCGATTTCTTACGAATCACCGTCTAAGCAGCGGCCCGACCGTTGGAAAAGCGCGAGGTACAACACACAGGTCTCGCCGCCGCGCGGACGCGCTTTCTTTGTTTTCCTTTTTTCTCCTCCTTTTTCAGCAAAAGTGCGGACGAGCTACGTTCGCGAGTCGGCTGGCGGAGAAACAAGAGGAGCTGCTACCGGTGGATCTGATTCACAACTTCCGCTAAATGTTTTCTCGCTGAATTCGAGTTGTTTGCAACTGCAGCTGCAGCTGCAGCTGCTGCGTTAGCAGCCTTTTCGCCGACTCGTTGGAAGAGCGAGACGACGACGCGCGCGCGTTCTTTGTCTTTGTCAGTCTTTTATTTATATACATCTCCGACTTTGCGCCTCGAGGTGTCATTGTATGTGAACGGACGAAGCGTCGCTTAATTACTAGCGAGCTGCGATACAAAGAACGGGCCAGAAACGCCGAGGGACTCTCTTTCGCCGCGAGCTCCGAGCCGACCGAGTCCGAGGAGTTACCGTCGAAAAATGAGATACCGCCCGCCCTATCGGCAAACTTCGCACGTACACATTGCACGATCTGCACGAAACGGACGGGAGGGAAGTGTGAGCGCAGCGCAGATAGTTTCTTCCCGATTTGCGCCATTATTTTGCGCCCGTCAACCTTTCGCGATACCTCGTCGATTTCCGCATACGAAATCCTGCCCCGAGGCGCGCTTTCGACGGCGAGAGGGGGATGAGAGAGAGAGAGAGAGAGAGAGAGAGAGAGAGAGAGAAGGGCGCGCGTTAAGAATTTCGCATTCGTCGTCCCGCTACAAAAGCTACGGAACACACGAAAGGACGCGAAAGACCGACCGTATACTATAATGTGTACCATGTTGACTCAAAGCGCGCGCGCGCGCGTCTCGTCCTAACGCGATCCTGCTCCGTTTCCCAGCCCCTCGCAGTCGGATCCTTTCGCAGCTGTCGACTTCGCCATCGGCTCTTCGCTGATGACTCCCACGGATAAGCTACAGCGAGAGTCCCTTCGACAGAGCTTCCACTTTCGACTCGCGTACACCCGAGCTCTCGTGTCCCTTCCTACATTATTTACGCACGGTCCTCGTAAATAGGTGTATAGGTCGGGAGAGCAGAGGTGCGCAGTCACCACATAGAAATACTACTTTCGGAACTTTGGCAACTTCTGACGGAAACCGCCACGGGCGCGGCAGAGCGGAAATTTATGGATTTTGTTTGGTACCTTCATCTCCCCCGGCAGGGCCGCGCGTTTTGATTTACGATCGAACCGTGGTGCGATATCGAGGGAGACACGAAGACGCGGCGAGACGCTGCGTCGTCGAAGGGTGGATGGGACGGAAGGCGAGAAGACCGAGCGAGAGGAGGAGAAAGAGAGAGAGAGAGAGAATGCCGGGGAAAGGTGGTTGGCGTTGCAATCACTTTAGTCGTTTCGCGCGACCTGACCGTCATCTCTCTTCTCTCTTGTGTTCTCGAGATCACGCGTGTCGATTCTTTGCCGCGCTTCTCGACCAACACACGACGAGGGCGCCTCGCGGTCCCGGCATCCATCCGCAGACGGAAGGAGGATCGAAAGAGAGAGAGAGAGAGAGAGGGGAGAGGAGAGAGAGAGAGAGGGAGAGGGGGGAGAGAGAGAGAGGGGGGAGAGGGGGAGAGAGAGAGAGAGAGAGAGGGAGAGAGAGAGAGAGGGGGGAGAGGGGCGGGAGAGAGAGAGAGAGAGAGAGAAAGAGTCCTGAAGGAGCGTGCGAGGAAAGGAGCTTACGTCACGCCCGGCGGGGGACCAATGTGACACGGTGATGCATGAGAAATCCGTTTTGTAATAGAAATCGTTACCGCGACGTATCGACGCAGTCGCTCGTGGGACTCGGAACCACGTCTACGGATTTCCATCCTCCGTCGAGGAATCTCGCAGCTCAATCTGGAATTTGCAACCGCCATGTGCCGCCCACCGTGCGGCTCTCGCGCGCATTTACATACGCGAGGGCACGCCTTGCTTTTTCACGAGAGAGACTCCATTTCCGCGTTTTCTTTGGAAAAAGGAAAATAAATACAAACCGTGACGCGACGCGGTTTCTTAATTCTCCCGTTTTGCGGTGAGATATTGCCGCATTTTGCCTAGACGCTAACTTGCGACTCTACTTCGGTCGAACCTATATCTTCACCCCAAAGTTTTTAACGAACCGCAGCTGTCGCGCGTCTATTTCTCGCCTTGCCTGTCGTCAATCGCCGGTGCGCCTCTCGTCGCGACGCGACCAAGGTAGCGGACCAAGTTGTTACGGAGCCGACGACACACAACAGTTAGTTTGTCTTGTCGTTGATCTTCGCTAACACCGCGTCAGAGAGGACTTGATTAAATCGCACCCTAACTAACATAATCTGTTTCCGCCTCCCGATAACCGGATCCGACGATTGCTGAATCGGGCAGGCTACAGAAACGCCAGACTGCCAGTTTAAGGTAATTAGTTAATGTTCCATTGCCGACGGACTTTGGCCCGTCTGCGAGAGTGTACACTATATTCGCGCGCGCGCGCGCGCGCGCGCACGTACCACGCCACCGTTTCCACTTTCATCCCGCTGCAACCCGCCAGTTAATTTCCAGACGAAGGCGCCGCGCGAGTCCGTTGATAAATCAGACGAGCGTGTATACACCTACGTGCAGGATATATAAGCATCCACGCGACGGTGCTTAATCGATCGCCGCTTAATGACTACAATACGTTTCAGCCGTTGCGAGAGATAGCATAACCTGCTGGTCGTAAATTGAAGAGCCAACGTCGTTCGTTAGATTCGCCGCGTACCACTCTCTCCCCGCCAGCGAAAGATCCGGCGGCAAACGATTATTAATAGCGCCGACGATGGAAACGAGTCGCTTCCGCGAGGACGATCCGCCGATAAATTTCAGTCTGGAAGCTAGAATTCCAGTCGCATGGAGCACCTTTGCGCGCGCGCGCGCATGATCAAGGCGTAACGCGAGATACAACTCGACAGAGCGACTGACAACAATTTACTTAGGCATTTACCGGTGCAACGGTAACCCACTCCCCCCTCATCCTGGGTGGGACCGACGATCGCGTACGATCACACACGTGCGAGCAACAGCTACTACCTTTAAGCGCAAAATCGCAAATTCGCGACACGTACAGCGGGGCTAATTCGAGCGGAAAGCGATATCGCAATTATATTATTATAGTCTATGTGAAACGTGTCGCGTTTGCAGTATGTTCGATGATCTAGCGAAGCGCATCGCACATGTATCCTTAATGTCGTCTCCCCTGCTTTGTTCGGACACGTATCGCTATCGATCGATATTACGAAGTGTGTTCATCCAGCGCGAGATGCTTCGCAGACCTTGTGTCACGTTAAAGGGTGCATTTAATTAGCACCTACAATGTCCTTCGATGCGTCAAAGCCTACCGCGCCTGTTTGATCACACATTTGCGGTATCCACACAACAGGTGTGGGGAATGCATCGACTAACGAGTCGCTTGTATCGGTGCGGACACGATCATCGTCTTAATGGCTGGCGTTTGCGTTTCGCGCTTTAACGTCGGGAAAACACCCGAATGCAAAAGTCAGCGACCTTGGCAAGGAGGAGACGGTTCTCTCTCGCGGCCAAGCGAGAATAACAACGAAAAACGAGATCTTTAATTGACGTTAATTGAACGCGCGCATCCAAACTGCTTCTATTACAGGGCGCACTATTGCGTATCTGCGGTATCTGCGACGAGCGGACTCGTCGCGGTCAAGCAGTGTGTCACGTATGTTACATTATAACACAATCACACAATCGTGCGATGCGCAAACGACGATATCTCTCTCCGACGTTCTTTCCCTTTGTGCGCAAAAGTATCCTCCCCACCCCCCGTTAAGTTTCCGCGAATCTCGCGGAAAGTTACGTTTACGAGTTACAATCTTATTAGAGGCCATCTCCCTGCAACTTCTCTCGAGCAAAGCAAGGAAAATTGAATCTCGCGTGCGCGAGAATGCTCCGGCAACGAAAAAGATGAGAACTCGTCCGCGATGAAGCATGAGCTTCGGCGGGGCGCCTCGTGCACATACTGTCTCGCGCTTTTCGCTTTCCGATAGATGCTCAGAGTACCGGCGCGCCATGGAATGTCAGCTCAAAAGAGACAAGACAAACAAGGGGACAAGGGAGTTGTCTACTGACAAAGCCGTCAGGCGCTGCTATGGACTATGTACACGATTCGATCGGACCGGTTTGACGTACCGTTGGAATCCATCGGAGGCAGAATTTCATTCTGGTACGTGTCGTTTCCAGTTTTTACCGATTGCCAGATACGACGTCACGTCGCGCCAAACGGGAAAGAACGTTAGAGAAATGACGAATGACTCGAGAAGTTCTTTATCGCAGATTTCCGCACCGGCTTCGATAACCTTTTCGCGCGTAAATTCACGCGTACCTACGAATTCGTTTCCCCTCTCTCTTTTTTTTTTGTTTTTAATATCGAGACGAGAAAGAGAGAGAGAGAGAGAGAGTCGCTCGTTACAACTGCTCGGATCCTCGCGGACGCATTTATTCAGAATTTATTCCGCTAGCCACAATCGATTCGATTTAATTAACGGACAGAATTCCGCTAAGCATAGCCCGGCGGTGCAAATAAGAGAAGCCACTGTGATATCCGATAATGAATTACGACGGTATACGGAGTGAATTGAAAAGAAATGCATCACTTGACGATTTTAGGAAGCAAAGAGGAATTCACGGTAAATTCTCATTTTCCCTCATCATACCCGGGCACGGAGAAACACGATTGTATATATCTGAACAGCGAGTAAAAAGGAATTTCATTTCCTCTCGTAAACCCCGAGGAAGAAAAAATGTGATATATATACATGCGCGCACTCAGAGCAAACAATTTTTCTCCGGCGATTATTAAACATAAACTCTATTCAGTTGCGTCCTGACATTAACGATGACTTTGATATCCTCTACAAAAAGAAAGAAGACTCTGTTTAATTTCTTCTAATTTCTTTCCGTTTCTCCGCTTGCGTAAGATCGTCGTAACGCGCTGATGCAGCGTTCACGGAATGTACACGAATTCATCGAAGAATCAACGAGCGATGCGCGCTGCTAAACATTTTCGTCGGAATTTTAGCGACGCGATACGAAGCTTACGAAGCAAATAACGTTGTTTCCGCGAGATTCGCGAGAGTTTGGCAATCGACGCGCTAAACGTAAAACGATTGAGACGCCATTGCCTTTTCTTCGGAAGTAAATGCGATTCAAAGGGCTTGGGTAGAGCAATTTGGAAAAACGACGTCCGCATCGCGATTTTAATTAGCCGCGGCGATAAACGCAGCACTCAGCAAAGTGGGTAATAACGATTAAAAGTCTAATCGGCTGAAAACTTGTTAACTTTCGCGAAACTGCCGGCATGGGATTCCATCTCGCGCCGAGTGTTAGCTCGCATAATAGAAGAGCTCGGGTATAAGGAACGGGGAAATACGTTCTAAGACTGCGCGAGAGCTGAATTGAAACCGATCGGCCGTGAATAGGTCGTAACGGTTTGTTAAAACAAACGAAAAAGTCAATCGAACATTCAATGATTGTAGAGAGAGAGAGAGACTCGGATGGTCCTTCGGTATGTTTCGCCAATGTATAATCTCGTGTCTTCATCGTATAAGAGAAAGAGTGAGCGCGTGAGTACGCAGAAATATCTATTCATAACGGTATAAAGAAAAAAAAAAAAAAAGAAGAGGAAAATTTCTCTTGTATAATCCAGAAAAGTATTTATGCATTTTTTTTTGCGGATCACGTAGGAAAGACGATGAGAGCCGTAATAGCAGGAGGCGGGGGCGTGAGCTCGCCGTTATTTCCCCTCCGCGCGTTCCTATGAATTCAAGTATTACTATGATCTCTTTCCGACGATTCGCCAGGCATCCGCGAACGTGATACCACGAAATTCAAGAACATAATCCGAATCCCGGGAGCACAATTTGAGACGCGGCAGCTCGTGTTCGCCATAACGCGAGGAAGAACGGGGGCGCGAGAATAAGATGCTCGCACTTAGCATCTTACGTCGGCGTTCCTCGTGCCCGGGAAAAGAGAGAGAGAGAGAGAGAGAGAGAGAGAGAGAGAGAGAGAGAGAGAGAGAGAGAGAGAGAGAGAGAGAGAGAGAGAGAGAGAGAGAGAGAGATCAAGAGAGAGAGAGAGATCGAGAGAGAGATCAAGAGAGAGAGAGATCGAGAGAGAGATCGAGAGAGAGAGAGAGAGAGAGAGAGAGAGAGAGAGATCGAGAGAGAGAGAGAGAGAGAGAGAGAGAGAGAGGGGGGGGGGGGTCAGGGAAGATGTATAGGATGCGCAGGGAGACGCGCGCGAGAGGTCGACGTTTTAGCGAACATCTGCCAGGCAGGCTGATTTCCAGCCAACGATAAGACCTCGAAATGTAGCCGAGCCCCGACGCTCGACTAGCTAGTATAACCACGCCGGAATTCATTAGTTAACCCCGCGATGCCGCGACCCAGCATTTTCAGAGACTCGTTTCGTAGCGCGGTCTCGCGCGCCGCGTGTACACGGAATTGCATCGCTGAAGAATTCAGGAAAACGCGAGGGGAGAGAAAGATGAAGAGAGCGAGCGAGCGAGAGACCGTTGCCGGCTGCATAGTAAAGGTAGTGTGCTCCTAAAAGCGCGGTGGAAGTATGATCCTGCTATGCGCGAAGATATCGAGCAATATCGAGGGAGATTGCTCGGGGCGAGAAATTTCCGCGCGACAAGCGGCGTTAGTAAACTTTAAATCGTTCCGTATTGCACGAGCACAATGCAAACTGGTCGCGTAATAGTTTAATTACAGAATCTAGCGCAAACCGTGCCCACTATCACGTTCACGAGCTCGGCTCGAATCGTCAATCGTAAATATACTGACCTCAAAAGAGATTTACGAATTAACCTCGTTGCGCGCGGGAGATAAATGCGAGCCAACCTCATCGAGACATGTACTCGTATCTGTAAGAACCCGTATCGAGAGTACATCTTACAAAGTACACAGAGAGAACGATTTAGTTGAATTTAACAAATGCTTATTTGGAATAGTCCAAATAAATTTTTTGATCGATCGAACCAAGTTTTGTTCGACGCAACAAAAATATTTTGTTGCAGCTTAGTTCCAACGAAATGTTTTTCTTGCGATCTCAAACGAGATCAATCAAAAAATGTATTTCGACTGTTCCAAATAAGCATTTGTTAGATTCAACTAAATCGTTCTCTCTGTGCAGACGATAAAAATTCAATTCCAGAAGACAGCGAGAAAGCTGCTTAAATTTGAGGCAAAGGCTAATTATATCAGTTATCGTTACTTACTTGAGCGGCTGACACAGAGAAGAACGAAGCACTGAGCGTAAGCAGTAAGCTAATCAACCAATCACAGATGAAGGGTAAGCGGTGACTGCTTACCGTGCATTCAACCGTGATTGGTCGATTCGCTTACTGCTTACGTCTTACCGCTTACAACGTTGCGCCATGTTCTATGGCCTTTATTCTCTCGGCAGTGAAAATGAAATTAAACGATTAACCAATCGGCCACAATGTCACAGTCGACGTTGCTTCGAGAGCGCGTAGGACAGTGATATTGACATTCTCTGTTGTCTGTTTACTTTATGTTCGGTTGATTCGTTCAAGCTTCACAAGGTATACACACCTTTGTTTACATGCCATCGCGGCCACGATCTATCTGTGTTTCGCGCTAATTAAGATCGCTGCGAAAAGCCGCACAAATTGATGGCGTGTCCACACGCTTAAACCCGGTTAACGTACCTTGCTCGCCCACGCAGCTTCTCAGTGCTCGTATGTGTAGTACGGTAGAATCAACCATACGACTCCACGTAATATACGTAATATACGTGGATACACGAGGACGATCCGTCCCCTATCTCTGCCGTATGTACGACTTCCTTGGTATTTGCGACGGTCGCAATCGGCTCGCCGCGAGTGCAAGAGTGTAGTACATCAATATGAGGATCGCGGAGTGATGCGTTTGGGCGCGACCGCGTGCCGAGTTTCGAATACGGCGCATGCGTGCGCATTCCACTTATTTTACCGTCTCCTTCTAATCGGTGTATCGCTAGCAAGTGTCTCTATTGCGTCAACGAAGCCAGTCTCCGTCTGACCAGCGCATTTCGCTCGTAGTATTCTCATTCGCGTCCATCTCTCTCTTTCTCTCTCTGACCCTTCGCTAGCGCATTCCTGTCCCTCTCGTACCTCCTCCCGTTCTCTCCCGTTCGTGCCCGACGGTATCAACAGCGACTCACTCGCTCGCTCTCTTTTTCTCTCTCTCTCTCTCTCTCTCTCTCTCTCTCTCTCTCTCTCTCTCTCGCACTCGTACTTCACTTACCTCCGCCATCTTCGTTTGATGAACCCTCCTCACTCTCGCAGCCTTCTCCGTTGGTGCACCAGCCGTAGTAGTAGTCTCCGTCTCGCTAAGCTCGTCACCTGCTCTCTCGCTCTCGCTCTCGCTCGCCTTCTCGCGTTCGTTCTCCCTCTCGCTCTCGCAACACTAGGGCGCATTCTAGTCCTCCTACGCACATCTCACTCGCGCAACCGGCACACCGACGAAAGTCCCTCTCTCTTTCGCACGGACACTCTTTCACTAGCGCGACCGCGCGTAGCAGTGGGGACTGAGTCATAGAAGTCGCGGGCGACGACGGGTGGCGGGGGAAGCCGTACGGCGGACGGAGTGGGAGCGAGCACGGCGGTAGGGATAGCAGGGGGAACGCTGGCGGTGCACTGGTAGTGGGGAGTCGGAACGGCGGTCGGCTAGTCTCGCGGATAGCAAGAGGGAGAGAGAGAGTGGTAGGGGCGACCCCTCTAAGCGGGCGATGCCACTCAACTGAATCCCCGCTCCGTTCTCGCGGCAGTCTGACGCCGGTCGCGCAGTTGCTACGGTTTTGTGTTCGCGCAGTTTTTCGCCAGTTTCGTCGTGCTGTGCGAGAGTCCTCCGCGCCGCTCGAAGCACGTCACACACGTCACAGTCTCTCGCGATCGTGCATGGTGTCTCGGTGCGCGTACCACGGACGCGCGCGGTCGCACGTCGTGAACACGGTCTCTCGACGTTTCTTCCGTCGCGAACGCGCCACAGTGTAGCCACCGAGTTGCGGCCGGCACAGACACCGAGGCCGAGGAACGAGCAGCCGAGAGACGCCAGATGCTCGAACCTAACCTCCAAGCACAAAGATCGCCTCGAGGGAACACGCTCGCTGCGCTGTCGCGGTAACTCGCACCTCGACTCGTCGTCTCCCGCTCGTCCGACGTGTTTCTGCCCCGATATATCACGCGTGCTCGCCGATTCGGCGATTTCTCGCCACGCGATCGATCTCTCTCGTGTGACATCGATGTGGGCGCGATAGGTGCGAAACGGCAGCGAGTCCGCGAAAGCCCGGGCGTTGCAAGTCACGGCGACTCTTGATCGCGAAACTCTTTGTGAGACGGAACCTCTCTCTCTCTCTCTCTCTCTCTTTCTCTCTCTCTCTCTCTCTCTTTCTTTTTTTCTTTCTTTCTCTCTCTCTCTGTGTGTCTCTCTCTCTCTCTCTCTTTCCCTCGTGGTGAACGTTGTGATTGACAAAAGAGACGGCGGGGACAGTGCGGGTCCGTAAATGACAGTGGAAAGAGAGGAGGGAGCTGCGATTCACCACGAACAGGGACGAAGGCTCCGCACGGTAAGCTGTAAATCTTGACCTCGAAGCTGCAAGAGGAACATCGAGTCGGTGCGACATTACCGGAGTGTGGATCAACAGCCCGCCTGCTTTTCTCCTCGTCACGGTGAGTACACGACTTTTCAGTGCGAAATATTACACGTTGTTTACCCGTTCGGCTGTCAGCTCTCTTGGCGCAACGTCCTTCTTCACTGAATGTCTGTTTTGCGCGCGAGCCGTTATTGAAAAGCGCGCGCGCGCCACTGAGTTACGATAAAGTATCTACATAAGCAAAGACATGGCAACGACACGCGTAAACAAACAGGCAACTTTACACACGTGACGAATCATCCGATAGCGGATGTGTGTGATTAACGACGCGATTATCGCAACGGAAAATTAGATACAATGTTTATAAGAAGTAAAGACGCAAGATATCAAAGTATAAACGCACGCACGCACATACAGTTGAGAAATACCGTATTTTGTATCATCAATGTGCACACTCAGCTGTTTAATTTCCGTATCGCAATGTTCACGCACGATTTTTGAGACGGGGGGCGTATAAAACTTACTGTTAGAGCGTCGTATCAAACTTCAAGTATCCATGGCGGTTCCCTTATCAATCTTCCAGGAAACGAAATTGAAGTCGAGTAAACCAAGTCGATCGATACGTCAGCACGAACCTACAGAGGTTTTACGTACGCCTCACGTGGGCCTCACGCGTTGTGTTTACGAAAGTAACGGCAAACGATCCGCGTACTTTAGCGAGCTTTTTATTTTTCAGTCCAACGCGACGTAACTATTCGATCGTAATACAAAGGCGATATGTGCGTGCGTGTGTGTGTGTGTGTGCGTGCGAAAAGACTTAGTCGTGCATCTCGTGCGACAGATTCCCTTTTGCACAATTGCTCGTCGACGAGAAGGCGGTTTCCGCGCGAGCGACTTTTTAATCGCGCGCACGGTATTCAGTAAACGTGCTCGGGAGAGGAAAATGAATGCGATTACTAAGCGGATGGTGACTCGCCGCTGATACATTCATTGGCGCGCATCGCGTGGAAACGTCTCACAAAGCAAGCGTCGCGATACGCGCGCGAATCGCGAAAGAATGCGCGAACTCGCGGTCGGTGTCTCTTCTTGAATAGTCGTGACCTCCGCGAGTCTCGCGGTATCGCCGAGGCGAATCTCTGATCTGTAATTCCAACTCGTGTCTGTGAGCGTTGAACGATCGTCATCACGCAGAGAGGTCGTCGGCAGTCTGTCTTTATCGCGGTGAAATCTAATTAGCCGTGACTTACGTAATTAAATATTCGCGGCCGTGCACGCGCAGAGGACGCGCCTGGCTCTTTAAATATTCTCACGGCGGCGTAAACTCGAATCACACAAAAATGAATTCCGCGCGGTATATCTCGCGCATATTTCATTCCGATTCCTCGTCGACGCGGCATTTTTCAAGGCGAAGGAGAAACTTTTTCAACGTCATAGGCGCGTGCGAATTTGTCGCGGCGTATTTATAATTACGACAATGTAGCGTAGCGTAGCGAATTGACGATGACGATGACGGTGATATAATAACGTAACAGGATCTCCAACGAGCGATCAAACGTCGCTTTTGTAATCGACTCGTCGGTGGGAGCCATCGAAATTGTGTGGAAAGCTGAAACGAGCGCGCGCGCGCGCTTCGCATCGAAAGTTTAAAATTAGTTCGGAGAAGCGACGAGCGAATTTCACAAGCCAATTCCACACGATAAGATGAAATATTGAAATTACGTATATATAATTCCGACGGCGAGCAAAAGAGAGGATAACGAAATATTTTCCGCTCGATAATGGCCCGCATGGACTTTGCCGATGTCTCGAGACTCGAGAAATTCGTCATCATCATGAATCAGGCAGACCGCCGGACGCCGTGATTTTCTCACATTCCAAAGGTGACAAAGGAGGACGGTCGGTTTACTAGCTTTACTACTTTCTGTTATGTCAGCCATTGCTTTCCTTAGCCATCTCCGGCAGCATCTTTTCCTCGCGTCGGTAAGGTCGCCTTTAAACGCCGCTCGCCTTTAATGCGATGTCGTACATACCCTCGTCAGAATCTACACCGCGCGGGGATGTAGTAAAAATTCCACGTCTGTAGGGTACTTTCCAGAGCACGGAGAAGAGGCAGGAGCAGGACAGAGCGAATAGGTTGAAAAAGGTCGGCGAGGAACGTTGGCGCGCTAACGCGCGCATAGGAGCAGACACGAAAGCACTGTTTTTCGCCGGACAGAATGCGAATGCGGCCTGGAGCCTGCTGTTCTTCTACGGTTTAAGCCGCGCGCAATTGCACGTGTGACGTGTTTCTGTTTCCGCAATTTCTCACGAGATGGATTTTTACAGATCAACGTTCGCGATTCGCCGACCGATCGAAACCACCGGCGCATCCGAAACAAACGATCCAGCACGAACGAATTTGTCGCCGCGAATTCGCTTCGCGTTTCATCGACTCGCGTCATTATCTCGCGACGTTTATAACGTGCCTCGTAATATGCGTTTTCTGCGACACAGGCGGAAATTGCAGCAGCGACTCAGCGTCTCTAAAAAAAAACACGCGCGTCATGTGTCTTGATATCGCGATGTAATATTCATAGAAGCGCGTTATCTTGAATTATAACGACCTTACGACTTCATTTGCCTCGACATAAATCGATATCCGCGAGGTGCTTTGACGTCACGTAGATCGCGGAATTCTCCCTATACGACGATCCGCGCTCCTCTCGATTCGCGGAATTGTCGCAACATTATCGCCGAACTTCTCGGGCGAAATTCGTTATCGACACCGACGCGCCGCGCCGCGCCGCGCCACGCTGGTCGTTACGGAAAATTGTTCCCGTGCGCGCGCGAGAGAGTCGATGAGAAAGAGAGAGGGTGAGAAAGGGAGACTTCGACGCCGCATCTCGCGTGCCATTGACTCTGCGAACATGCCGTAGACTCGTGGAAATTCCGGAAACGCCGATCCCGCGGCGTGAGCCATTTTCGTGACATTTATCTCGACGGCAAGTTCGTGCTAACGTTGCGCACTTCTTGCCCGGATGCGACGCCCGGATAATTCGCCAAAGTCGAGCTCGGGCGAAAGCGATGGCGGAAGGAGCGCGGAACTCGTTCTTTTTCGGGTTTTGATACGAATTACCGAGTTTGCGTATCCCAGCTATATCCTCAAGATTACCCCTTTTCACGGTCGCCTTCGGCACGGGCGAGAGCGAGAGAGCGAGAGAGAGAGCGAGAGAGAGAGAGAGAGAGAGAGAGAAAGAGAGAGATGCGTTTTCCACATGATGCGAAAAGTTTGAATGGCTTTCGTTAGCGGATTTCCCGGGCGACGCTTCAGTACATGCAAATTCGGGGCATTTTCCGCGCGAGAGTCTTTGCGGGCTTTGCGCGAGACGCCGCGAGGGCCCGTGGGATTTTACCGGCGGTAACGAGACACGATGTAAGGGTCGCTGTAACCTACATCCGCATCGATCTGTGCCGCAGTTACCTGGCCGCCTACTCGTCGGTCTGCCTGCCTCGCGGCACGCGTTACCTACCTACTAATCGAGCGGAGTAAACGAATCGCGATGCATATCTGATACCGCGACGATCCGCGCCGCGATTCTTAACTCGCGCGCCGATCGGCACGCGTACCGCTAACGATTCATCATGTTTTCCCCATAGAACGTCACGCGCAATTAGAATGCGGCGCATTCGCATTACGTGTGCAACGTGATGCAACGATTACACGTTTTACACCGTGCTCGCAACGTGTACTTAGGAAATCCATGCTGTGATATTTTAAGATGAAATCTCGTGGCTCCACCGTGGCACTACTGAAATTACCAAACGTATCATTTTATCATTATTGTAATCATACCAGTACAAGTATCTGGTATCCTCGACGGGGAATAATTGATGGGAATAGTACGGAGTGGAACACGACCGCGACTATATGGAGGAGGGGGGGGGCAGGGGGGAAATGAGAATAACAAATCTGATATATTTGAAAAATGATTCTTCTTCTTTATTCCCCCATCCACTACCAAAACGGCAAATGGCGCGCGCGAAAATAAATAGATGCAATTCGATAGATACGTATATCTAGGGCTCTATATCGGTATTGATATTAGATGATTGATTCGGTGGTTCGTTTCGGAAACAAAATGAATTTTCATCAGATACCGATATCAAATACAAACAGGCCGGCACGCAGCCATCAGATTCATCGTCAGAGCAAACGTATAAATTTATAATTTATGATGAATATATCAAATTTCTATTTGACACGCGCATTTGAAAAGCATATTTTGACGAAGATACCGAACGTGAGACCTCTCAGCTGTATGAGCACGATTTCATCCAACGAGGATCGAATCGAGAGATAACAACTGGCCTGATTTAACCTCGTAAAACGACGCAACGCGTTGATGCTTTCCGCTAAAGCAAGAACGTCGCTTCCTCGTTCGCGCGTTTAGCGGATGAGCCGTGCGCGTTTTGTCCGCGCGAGAAGGACGATCGAGCAAAGAAGTAATCGCCCGTTACAAATCCGATCGCTGCGTATCATTATGCCTTATTGACCGTGATTAACGCGTCGCGCGAGCGAGCTAATTGGCTCACCGTTCGACGGAGATAGATAGATTTGCGTTTCCACACACACACACACGCACACACACACACACGCGCGCAGTGCAGTCAGGGTCGTCAAATCCGATGCTTCGAGTTATCGGCGAGTTAACGCCGCGCGTTTATCCGCCTTTGAATTTGTGCACAATAATGGAGCGTATTTCGGAGCGTTAAAACGAAGAGTTCGCCCTCGAATAGCGCTCCTGCCAAATCACCGTCGATGCTCGCGCGTAATATCGCGATCGGCTGCCTCGCCGTTATATGCTGCGTTCGCCGTACCTCGAGCGTAGGCGATCAACTCCTTCACCGCATTCACCCACGGCATTGTCTCAAGCTCCGGCACGACGATATACGCAGACGGATTCGCAGTCGGCCGCGATTGCCCGTTGCAGCGATTCTCCTCCGCGAATCGATCCTATTAAAAGAGCTCTTCTGTTCAGCGGTATTGTACAAATCGCACAGCGTAAGAAGAATAAATTTCTTTCTCTCGGCCACTTT